AAACTCCAACCCTTTATCGATGGCAACTTTAGCATCTTCGGCTACGTGGAGGTGGAGATGGAGGTGCTGGAACCGACCTCCAAAATCACGCTCCACATGGCCGACATAATCACCCTAAATGACACAATAAAGGTAGGTATTTGTATCAATTGTTACTGAACAACATTTAACACATGATGCAGATTTAGCGCATTTCAACATGACCCAATTTTTGGAAATCATTGCATCTCTTCTGTTTCAGGTATATACTCCTGGTCAAACAAGAGGCCAAGGTGTGAGGATCAGGAAGCATGAGTATGATCATGGTCGTCAGTTTTATATCGCCCATCTGAGGAAAGAGCTGCAGAAGGGACAAAAAGTACACTCTCTCCATGGAGTTCCTTGGTTATCTCAATGACAAGCTGCACGGCTTCTACAGGTCGACCTACATAGATGCTGATGGCAACACCAGGTGAACCGCTAATGGCGTGGTCATAATTCAATAGTACTTATATCATTCTGATACATAATATTTGTGTACTGACACTAAACATCTTTTCAGGAACGTTGCTGCGACACAGTTTCAGGCTACTGATGCCCGCAGAGCCTTTCCTTGCTTCGATGAGCCTGCCCTGAAGGCAACCTTTGAGATTCACCTCGCGAGGGAATCTTGGATGACGACCCTCTCCAATATGCCCATTAACGAAACTGTGCCTATGTGAGTAGGCTGGCAATATAATCTGTGTCAATGACAGGTCAATTTGGGGTTTGTTATATAGTTTTTGTTGGTATGCTTTTAGTAAGTCATATTTCTAAACTGACAGGGTCGGGCAAGAGGGCTGGGTGTGGGACCGTTACGAGAAGAGCGTCCCCATGTCCACCTACCTCGTCGCCTTCGTTGTATCGGATTTTGTTCAAGTCAACACTACAGTGAATGACGTGGTACTTCGAGGTAAAAATGGAACTCATCATAAACACCAAGTATCCTCTGAATTAAATATATCACTTCAGGGAATTATATGATGAATATGTGATCTTCGACTCTTGAACTTATCAGTAAATGAGGTTTTACCACATGGAGTAGCAAGTATGTACGAATAAGTATGATGTTTATAACATTCTTGTACGAAAATTCTCACCGGCAGTGTGGGCGCGACGAGAAGCCATAGATCAGGCAGAGTATGCAATGGAGGTGGGCCCCAAAATCCTGAGTTTTTTTGAAGAGTATTTCGACTTGCCTTTCCCTCTCCCGAAGATGGACATGGTTGCATTACCCGACTTCTCTGCAGGAGCCATGGAAAACTGGGGTCTCATTACTTACAGGTAAATGCAGTGGATACAATATAGATGTATGGCTTTAATAGAATATTTTGTTTTGTGACAAAGATGTGGGAGTTTTAGCATTCTGCGGGCAATAAGTAATTGCTCATGACTTCTTAATTAAATCAAAGCAATTTTAAAGTCATCACAGTTCTATGGCGATGTTTTTTTTTTATTTGCATTATTTTGAGAGAATATCACATTATCTCCTCTCGGTGTACTTTTGTGTACAGGTTCTCAGAGCCAAGATATAGTCTTTGATCCTCTGCATTTTCTACTTTCTATGTAAGACAATAGGAAATAATGGTAGCTAGGAGTGTACTTATTATAAGTTTTATCATATCACTGAAAACGCGTTGTAAGCATTATATCTGCAATATACTTCACTAAAAAATAATCCATGTAATTGAAAAGGCTATCTATACATAATCGTAATACTAATGAATTAAAAACACATGGCTGTGGCCGTAATTTTCAAACCAAAAGCCGATAAAATCAATTGATGCCACCGACCTTTCCTAACTAGTGAGACCCTTAATCTACCCAAATTAACAACCTTGATTAGTATAAAGAGCATACACCTGCATCGTAACCCATCGGAGCTGAAAAATCACCCAATCGACTATTTGATGTAGCCGTACAGAATTTGGCGTTGCTTATGGGTGACCCAACAAATAGTTATAATGCTAGAATTAATTTGCCTATCAATCCAAACAGAGAACAGTACCTCATGTACATTCCGGAAGTGTCAACCACAGCATCAAGAGCATCTGTTACTACGACAATAGCCCATGAATTGGCTCACCAGTGGTTTGGGAACCTGGTGACTCCCGCGTGGTGGGACGACCTCTGGCTCAACGAGGGCTTTGCTACCTATATAAGTTTCCTTGGTGTGGATCGTGTGAGTTATTTAAAGTCTACATGTCTTGATCCATGTCGTAATTGATACAAATTGTAATGTTTCAGGTTAGTTTCATTCAAGATGCAAAAAGTAAGAAGTGAATAGTATTTTTCTTTTCTGTTCAATAGGCAGAGCCAACATGGAACGTATTGGAAACATCACTCATCCAAAGAGTTCATGGTGTGTTCGATCTTGACAGCCTGGAGTCCTCACATAGGATCAGCATTCCCGTTGGTCACCCAGACGAAATCGTCGAAGTCTTTGATGGCATATCTTACGAAAAGGGTCAGTACTTTTCCA